ATATTATATTATATATATTAATATTATTATTATATTATTACTATAAATATAATATACATTATATTATATTATATTTCAAGAGTATTTTGCGTTTGCTAAATAAATACTATTTCTTTTTTGTTAAACTTATAGCTATTTCAAGATGACTTTTATTTGATCTGTATCCTTTTACAGCAAATTGGACTATATTGTTATTTGACCTCTCAATTTGGTAATTTTGACATGTAGGAAGTTGAAAAAAATCTTAAATTCTTGAACTAAATTGTGGCTAATTCAAACAATATCTGCAACAGCAGCTCACTTTTGTTAACCTTAGCTATTTTTTTTTTCGATTTTTCTTTTTAAGTTTCTTGATTGTAATCCCCAATACCAAAAAGAAAGCCTCAACACCCTTAATAAATATTAATATTACCCCACAACAAATAACTGTGCCAAAGAAAAAATATGACCATTTTTTTTGTGTGTTAAAAGCATCCCTTCTTACCCTACCACCAGGGGGCCACCTTTTCAATACAAACAACCTCAAGACTGGATGCTAAACACTGCATATTAGGGACATTTGATCACAAGCTTCATTAGAGCAAGGGTCCCCAACCCCTGGTTCAGGGACCAGTGCCGGTTCGTAGGTCATTTGGTATCGGGCTGGAGTGGTAATTTGGTTTTAGTAATTTAGTTCGTCATAAATAATCCAGTCATATCCCTTTACTTTTTTCATTCAAAGATAATCTGTTAATGTTTCAAAACAACAGGTCGTTCAGACTCTGATACTAACAGAATAAAGTCTAAAAGATTATTTTGAATATTTAATGAGCCTTCAACGATGGAGCGATATTATTGGCTGATACTAGCCAACCGCTCCTTGGTACAAAAAAAAAAGGTCGGGGGCCGCTGCATCAGAGCATTGCGGAGGTAAAGTTAATGTTCAAATGATTTCATATAAAGAAGAAGAGCTGCTGTAAAGAAAAGGTGGCCATTTTGTGTGTCACCAACCCCGCGCACGTACAATTGGTTAATTATATATTACCATAATCCTGTCTGGAGTAAACTTCTGAGGAAGAAAAAACATGTTGTGCATATAAATGAAAGAAATGAACATCATATAACATGAACCAGGTTGTTATTATTAATGCTGCCCTCTGTCACGGTTTTTCATCATTTTTCTTTAGCTAAATGCAAATTTGACATTAACTGCAAAGTGAAAATGTATCTGTCATAACATGTTTTTTTTTTTTTTGTTTTTTTTTTCTAAATCCAGTCGGAAAATTTTTTTGCCTGGAAACCCATTCTTGTACTTGAGGAAACATGCTTTCGCTATGTTGTGTCAGGGCAGGCATGGGCAAACTAAGGCCCCGGGGGGCGGGATGTGGCCCATTCAGCTTTTTAATCGGGCCCGCCAAAATGTTTCAAATTATATAATTTATTTATATTACCATTATGGAAGTATAATGGTATTTGCCTTTTCCCTGCAATACCCATGTCCCCCCAATAGATGGCGTAGAAAATGATAAAAGCATTTTTAGCTTTTTAGCCTTTATGCATGACTTTTACATGTCATTTATCTTAGTTCACATGGACATTCCATCTATCTGCTCCTGACCCGGCCGCCCCTGTTCAATTTTAGGACAATTGTGGCCCGCGACTCCAAAAGTTTGCCCACGCCTGTGTCAGGACATCCAGACTGTGTTTATAGTGATGTGCTATAACAAAGAATCCTACAATTTCTTGCCTGGAATACAAATGGGGTCACCTCAAACATCTAGTAATATTTGTTATTTTTAAATTACTGATTTTTTTTTTTTTTTTTAATTTATGATTGAAAACACCATACACAATCTTAAACGTCTATATTCTTCCACTTTCACTCTGTATTTGCAATACAGTATAACAGACATGATTAAAAAAATATCTAAAAAAAAAAAAAAAATGTTTCTGGGGTCGCCTGAAATTTGTGATGTTAAAATGGGGTCATAAGTCAAAAAAAAAGGTTAACTTGTGAGCGGAGGATTGATGGCGTAGGACTACTGGAACCTAGAAGTGTTTCTATTCGCCGCTGTTGACTCACCGATCTTCTGAGTGTCCGGAAGGAAGAGATTCTGGGTTTGACTGTCTTATTGAGCTCCTTCAAACAGTACGACAGGGGGTCCCGGCCGAACTTAGGGGAAGAGGGTCCATTAGCAGGCGAGGACATAGGGGGAGTGGAGAAAGGTGGGTGTGTGGAAGGGGAGAGCTGAGAAATGGAGGAGAGAAAGAGCAAGGCCAAAGTTCCAGCACAAGGGCGTGAGATGTGCAGCGTTAGGATGGTGAGGTGGTGAGGAGTGGGGGGGAGGAGGAGTGGAGGAGGGGAGGGCCCAGAGAGAAAGAGGGGGGGGAAAAAAGAAGAAGGTGACAAGGGAATTACAACATAGACATTGAGTCAACACCCTAAAGCATACCCACAAGGAAAGCTAGGGAGAGAAACCCCACAAAACCCAGCATACAGGCCCACACAGCATGAAGACAGCACAAACATGGAATCATCAACATATAAACACATTTCACAACAGCACAAAATGCACACTGAAAGCAAAAAAAAAAAAAAAAAAAAAAGCCCTGCTTTGAACCACAGCCAGAGCAGCCCAACGCCTGTAGTTTTATTGTTTATTCGGGGTTTTTTAAGTGCAAGTCTTGGGTGACGTATTCATTACTTATCTGAACTTTAAAGTTTTTTTTTTTTGGTTATCTTTGTGAAAACCTAGAGATAAAAAAAGCTGTCGTTTTGGGAAAAATTACACTAGCTAATTCAAAGTTTTTGGTTTTTTTTGTTTTTTGTCTAACCTTAAGATTTGGCTTTTATTTTTGAATTTTATTTTTTTTATTTTTTTTTTTATTTTAGAAAACAACAACAACAACCTAGTCAGTTGTCTATTCATTTTATGAAGAATTTTCAGAAGATTTTCAACTTCACTTTTTAAAAATCACACCCTATATTCTCATTTAAACACTTAATTTGTAGTAATAATAACCGGTTGATGAGCAAAGTATAAAATATATATAAAAAAAAAAAAATTCTGCCTTGTGCCAAAAAAGGTTCTATAATGAGTTTCAAGATCTACTGACCGAAGTAACAGATGATGGAATGTTTTATTGTTTGTTCTTCCCTAAATAAATATGTTAATTTACAAAATTATCTGAGTTTGACTGAAGAAGTGCTCAAACTGATAACTGCAGTTATAAACTCTTTGAGACTATTTTTTATTACTGGTCTCCATCGACAGAGAAATAACACTGTTTTTTTTTTTTTTTTTAAATAAACCCCTATTTATATTGGAGCTTAGCGTCGAACCGCTAGAGACAAAAACATTGGCTCGACTTTTCGTCCTTTTCTTCTGTTCTTTGTCTGTGATTTAACTCCTCGGCTCCTCTAGCTCGAAACCCATCACCCATCTCCCAGTCTGACCTAAATAGATGAAATATTACTCCATAAATCAGTCGCCGTTGGTACAAATACCCGGCCTGTCTAAGGCGGCGAAAGAGTGAATGCTGACTCTTTTTTTTTTTTCCACGAGAACGTTTTTACGATTGCCCCTACGTGACCTTTGGTTAAGAGGTTAAGTTGAAGTAAAGTCTGCAGTGAAGTGCACAGTGCTCCAGCATTTAAAGTTGGAGGCGGGGCTCTATTATCTAAATTACATTGGAAGCTGATACCTCCGGGGCTTTTTTTTTTCTGTCTCGAACGGCAGTTCAAAAAAAAAAAAAAAAAAAAAAAAAAAAAAAAAAAAAAAAACCCCCCCC